CTGCACAGTACGCTAGGAAAGGCATCATCTTTTGACTGCATAATACTGAAAACCATCCATCTGCTGTATCCTGTTGTCTGATGTACAGAATAAAGCAACCTTTGTGGATGAACACGGTATTGGTGAGTTCAGCTATCTGACAATGATTGTCCTCAGTGATTGAATCTGCTTATACAGGCCAGGCATAGAGGTTTCACAAGGGATAAATCGCTATCACAACAATCGGAGTCAGAATACTGGGCGTCCATCCATCCCGGGCAATGTGGCTCTGTGCACTGAGAACGGAGGGAGATCAGTACGTATGTCACTTTTCTGCAAGGAATTTGCGTTCATAATGATCATTTAACTTATCTCAAATTAGCGAAAATTTAGATACATCCTTATCTGAATGCCAAAACAAATTGACTTTTTAAGACTCAAATCCCAAAAAACAAAATAAAAAAACATCCAAAACTAAGCTAATTTTGTGGCGGCTTACATGTCTATAAAGTACCACTCTTAAAGGCTTGAAGACCTTGAGGCTGGGTTCACACCTAGGCGTATTGAATGTGCGCGTTTGTCGCGTGTTTCTTGCTGCACGTTTTTACCGCGATTCGCAATACAAACACGCGTTTTCAAGGGCTACCTGGCTGTATCCCAATGGATACGCACGGCAAATACGCCCCAAAGAAGCTCCTGTACTTCTTTGGGCGTAGGGCATTTTGCAGCGCGTTTCTACACGCTGTAAAACGCCCAGGTGGGAACCATGCCCATAGGCAATCAATGGTTTTAACATGTTGAGCGTTTTACAGAGCGTAGGAACGCGCTGTAAAACACCCAGGTGTGAACCAGGCCTTACTTCGCCTTTGTGTTCATTTTCTTCCCTATTCCACGTCACCCATGGTTGCAACGCCAAGAATTTTTAAATATAAGTCCTTAAAACCTCTAACTTGACACTGTGACCGTTACAGTTTGTTTGGTGTTTCATTTAAATATTGTCTATATGGTTTATAAAGTTAATAAATGCACAATGATCTTTACAAAGGACCAGAATCTTGCAAAACAAGTTATTTTAGTAATAGTAGGAAGAGGGGAAAGTGGCATAAAAACAGGTTGTCTTCTTCAGAGGGCACACTTTGCTTACAGGACACAGTGGGGGGAATTTATCAAAACTGGAGCAGACAAAATCTGGAGCAGCAGTGCATGACAACCAATCAGCCTCTCTCTTCAGTTTGTTCAGTAAAGCTGCCCATACACCTTGCGATCATTGGGCGAAACCTTTCGTCTGTTGATCGAACCGTCGTGCGATTTTCGTATGGCGGTCCCATCCTGCCACGATTATTGCAAGGTTGAATCAGCAGTAATTAAAAGACGAATTGCGGTAATCGACCGATCTTATTTTCGTCTGCGCATGAGCAGTGTAAATCCTACGAATTTTGACATACGGAAACGCCGCTGAAATGGATCTGAACCACAACTGGGTTCACACAAGATGTCTGCTGCTGTTCCTAATTATGTTGTGTTCGGTGCACCGGAGAAATCACAAACTCAGGATTAAGGTTTATGACGCATCTACTTTATTCAGGGCGGTCTCTCTCCTTTATACACAGATAACAGGAGAGTGCTAGTCACACATATGCCCACATCTGTTATCTCTAAATGTCTTGTACTATTGGGCAAACTAGAGGGGCTGTTAACGTTTTGTGTCTCTCGCTAATTGGTTAGTCAAAGATATCTTCTGCCTGTAGCGTCCTCCCTCGGCATTCCTTTGAAGTATCCTCGGCTCGTTCCCGAATACAGGTTATATGTCTTGGTTACGCATAGCAACGCTAAAAGCTGGAGTAAGGAAAGTCACAAAGCTAGGAAGCAAACAAAACAATTTAAAACATAGAAAAGGACATTTTCTTGATATGATCCATATTCCTTCACACCACCAACCTTGCGCAAATCGTACGATCGACCGAAGTTTTATAACCTGCTGGTTAGTCAAAAGTTGTACGACTGTACAGTATTTTCGGCTGTACACTGCACATCAACCCTACGTATGTCGGACAAAATCACGATTGCATACGAAAATCGGCCGATATTCGTAAGGTGTATCGGCAGCATTAAGATTAAAAAAGAAAGAGGCTGATTGGTTGCCATGCACAGCGGCTCGTTTTGATAAATTCTCTTTAGTGTCTATTTGTAACCATTGTGTAGCTCACAGCAGACTGTGTGCTGCAAACATGGTCTTGCTTCTTTACTGAGGCCTTACCCTTGGCTTTCATACTGGAGGAGGTGGGATCCCATCCTTCTGGCAGGTTTTGAAGAAGGAATGCGGAGTAGCTCAGATCTGGGCTGGGGGGTCATCTTAAGAGATTTGGGCTACATAGAATCTCCTAGGACCTTACTGGGAGGATGGTGATTTCACCCT